GAGGAAAATATGGAAATTACACATTAACTAGTGCTAGGTTGTATGATACTGACTATGCATGCTGTGGAAAGAAATTTTTTAATTGGAAGATTGTTATACGTCAAGTTCAAGGGAGGTTTTGGAGAGCAGATGGAATTTGTGCAGGGCCTCAGAGAAAATATATTAGGTTTTGGACTGGCAGAGGTGGTGTCGATGGGGCATGGGTCAATGAATATGAAGAAATAGTAGAATAACTTGAAAGGTTTAACACATAATTTTAAAGAAAAGGTCTTCATTGGAGAGGTTTAGCAAGATTACCAAAGAATCTTACTTTTTAAAAAACTGTCTTAAAGCATCCTACTGGGACATTTTCCTAAAGTTACACATCATGGCTCATAGTAGGTTCTAGAAAAGCCCATTAGGCTGAGACCTACACTAGTACCTTCTCTGCTTTATTTAAATTTTCACAGCCAGACCACGACAGGGCTTGGTCCTCATATAATACCACAGAACGTCAAATCTATTATCACTCTTTCTGGATTCTGACAGAAAATGGGAAAAGAAACTTTGAATGAGATAAAGACCAGGAAAACTAGTACTTTGTTAGTTCTCTGTTAACCTAGCAGAGCTCCACTCCCAAAGATCTCAGCACTGATGAGGCTTCATGATTGACATAATATTAGAGCTTATGAATGATATAAGTTTTATTCTCTCTTTTCAATTCTTCTGTGATAAAGAGCTAACTTCTTAAAGCCAAGTAACAGTACAATGCTGCAGCTATATTCTGAACATACTGACATTAATACTTGATAAAGAAGGATATTCTTACCTAATGGAGGAGTGGTATTTGGGTCATTATTCCTGGGCCAGTCAGAAAATTCTCTGACTTTTCAGTGTATTAGTTTCTGGTCTTAGAAAGATAATGAGACTTTTTGTCTATAAAGAAGATAGAGATCCTCAGATTATAAAAACACCATTCTTTTTTGATGAACCACAATGAGTGGACACTGCCACATTTCATGGATTTTCAGTTGGCCTTAAAAAGAAATAGACTGAACCAATGTGTCATACTTGATTTTCTACATTCTCTGGCATTTACTAACCTTCTAAGGAACTAAAAAGTGAAGAAAATTATTTCTCTGTCCAAACATGTGTCAGGAGCTCCTTTAAAATGATATATTTAAATAATGAAACTGTGTTAAATAAAAGAACATTATATAGCAACAAGAGCCTCTTCATTAGGAGATTATTAAACCTGATTATAGAATTTAACATTTGAATCTACTTACAATCTTTCTTATGATGGACTAGGAGAGGCTAATTCTCTTAGGTTTGTTCAGGTTTTTAAATATTTCCCCTTATGGTATACTGGCTTTCAACAAGAGTGGGTAAGGGAGCTATCACTGGATTTAAGACCTAACTTCATTCAGAATGAGGAAGAAGTTTTTCTATTACAATGAATGCAGTTTCAGCCATTTTCTCAAGGCTGTTTAGAAGCATTTTCCTTTTTGGATTTGCCTCTATATTTGTTTTACTTTCTCAAATATGATTTTTAAATGATTAATATTTTCCTTTTATTCTCAAAGAAGCTAATAAATATGCAGTCCCCCTTTGAGTGCATTGACTATAGAAAGGTAACAGAACCACATCAATGCATCCCACCACCTGGGCTGAGGTTCCCTACAGACCACATACAGGTGGATAAAAACAGAATCAGACATAAGGCAGGGTTTGTCCAGAGAATTCCTTGAAGAACACTTATTAAAAAGGCTAGTATCCCCTGTGAGAGAAAGAGGTTCCATGAAGATTTGTGGTTGCAGTGCTCATGATGGTTTTATCTTAAAATTCAAGGACTAAAATAACTGTACAAAACCCTAAATAGAAGGGGGGAAAAAGAGAAATCTTCAATCTTCACTAAGAAGCTGCTACATCAAGTTTGCTAACTGATCCCAAGAAACAGTGACCGTTTTAGGAGAAACCCTAAATCACAGAAGTGAACGAGGCTTACAGTTGCCTTCCCATCACCTATCACTTCCACTTTTCTCTCACCCCACCTCTAGGAGGGCAGCAAATGTGGAGTCAAATAGAATTCAACTCCATCATCATTTAGATCAATCTGCACATAAAGGAATGAATAGCCACCAAGATTTAGGTTCCAAATTATATTCCACTGAAGGACCCTGCAGAATCTCCTCAAAATTCAGAAAGCCAGACTTGCCTCTACTGGACAAATGAGGAAACCAAAATACCAAAAGCCACTGAATAATTTAATGGTCTCCATAAACCTATTGTGAGCCAAAGTTTCATCTAGTCTGAAATGTAAGGGTGGGAATCATTGTCAACCAAGGATAAAATCTAGTTCCTTACAATAAAACATCAGGAATATTTGCCAACTATTGCCAGGGTTGAGAGTCACTGACAATCAGGTACAAAATTCAGTTTTTTACAATATAACAGCACGGAAATTTGCAAATGATCACCAGGGTTGAAAAAATCCTGACAGACATAATGGGCTAGAATGACCAATTACCTAAATGTACTTCCAGGAGAAGCAGAGTCAAGTGTTTCAGTGTCATGATCATTAGTCACTTGGGCTGAGCAGGATGATTCTATCTATAAAAACAAATTACACCAGCTCTTTTTCTCCAGGGGCATCAATATGTTAATGAGAAAAGAAAGAGCAAACTTCATTTAGGTGTAATATCCCTAAGAATAGAATTTGAAAGATTTTAAGTTCTCTTATAAGCCATTTAATAAAACATATTTTTAATGTACCAGCCAGAATTGTTTACTAAGGAGACAATCCCCAACCTGTTGGAAAATCATCATAAGACCCAAGAATACAAATACAATTATTTTCCCCACCTGCATTTTTAGAGACAAAACTGAAACCAATTCCTTATATCCTCTCATTGTCTTAGAATTGCTTCAAGCAGGGCTATAAGCAGCTCCCCATGGTTGTCATATCCCAAGGAGAAAACTAATTAGTTTTCATTAGTTTATGTCAAAGTTTTTGTTTGACCCCAACCTAGAAGTTACATTTTCTATAAAGTAAATGGCTTAGAGTACTAAAACCATAATCAATTAAGTTTTGTAATAAAACCATAATTAATTAAGATTCTGAACATTAAATTATTTGTTTTATTGTTGTATTTAATTTTAACAATTAAAAAATTAGAGATTCTGTCAAATATTCTATCCTTTCATATTAGCTGGGGCCAGTACCCTGTCAGTAGGCAAGGTCTGTGAACCTCATGCCAAATAGGTACGTGAGCAAATAGAAAGATAACCATTTGTGGAGACAGAGGTGGAGCTGGGCTTGGTTAGGAATGAATCAGATCATCTCACAGAGTGGGTGTCTCCTTCCCAAGTAGGTCTTCAGGGCACAATTAAAACCCTTATAAAAGGCCCAGCTACCAACTGTCCAGTACAGTTGCTGGTGGTGTCAGCGAGCGCTTGACTTCTCCCTCTGGTAAAGTGGGTAAGTCCCATTCAGTGGGATCATGTTCTTCTGTATGAGTCTTCATTTTCTAGTTGTTATAGATGTTGGTGAAAGGGGGCAACAGGGGTCTACTGTGCCAGAAGACATCAGTATCTTACAGGGATGTCTAACTCTATGCCATTTTCTTATTATTGGAGCCATTACTCAGATAGAGACATAGCCCTTCTCCCAAGGTTCTGAACTCTGTAAGTGTGTTCATATGTCAGGAACTGGAAGTTGGTTATGTGTGACTCTGATGGGGTTCATCTTTCTAAAAACTGCCATCTCAAAAAGTTTTCCAACACTTGGTTCTCTCTTTTTTTTAATCCTCATCTGAGGATATGTTTATTGATTTTAGAGAGAGAAAAAGGGAAAGAGAGAGAGAAACATTGTTTGGTTGCCTCCCATATGTGCCCCAACCAGGGATCAAACCAGCAACTTCTTGTAGTGTATGGAATGATGCTCCAACCAGGTAACCCATCCAGGGCTCCTCAGTTCTCTTTTTATATTGGTTCTACCCAATATAGGCCATCTTCATGTAGTTATGGCATCTGTGGTGTTGGAGTTGAGAAGTAATTAATGAATCCTGCTGGATTGATCCACTATACTCACCCAGCCAGTGAAAGTTTCCATGTAGTCTTTTAACATTGATCAGCTTTTGGCTAAGTCCTTTTTTTTGCATGATGCCAAGATTCAAATGGTTTGTTTGGGTTTAACAAAAGTTAACCATTAGACCAATATTATTCAAAATTGTCCAGGTTCAGTTTGATCCATTGACTCTGGTAGCCAGTCAGAAAGTACCTCTCAGAAGCTTTCAACAATTGAATATCTGTAACATATCTTACTTAAGGCAGATAACATGTGCTCTTTGTTTTCTTCATTTGTATATCTGAATATTATTATACAATGCCACCTTTGACTATGAAAAAGTAATGCTTAATCTGAGAACTGGTGAACTATGAATTCAGTTCTTAGATCTCTTATGGGCTATAATGTTAGAAAATAATCTACATTCTATTTTTAATGTTCTAGTTACCACCAAATGTTTTGCTGCCACAATTAGGCATAGATAGTTTCTATCCACTTTAAGATACTCTTGGATCTTCTTTCACAATTTGGTTTTCAGCTATCCTCTGTTCAATTTTAGAGGAAGATGCAATGAGTAGCAACATACCAAATTTAAATTTCTATATTATTCTTTACACTGTCTGATCTGAAATATGTTAGGGAGCAGAAAGAGAGAGGACATGAGATGGATAATCCAGACTGGATAAACAATCTAAAAGCCTATGACAGGATAATCTAAAGATAATTCCCTGGCTTTAAGTTTCCCAAGATCTTGCTTCCATTTTTCAAGTACAATATTGAAAGATAAAATGCTTTGAAAGCCTGGGTTAAAAATAACTACTGCTGTTAAGTCAGATTATTTAGGCACCTGTCCAAAACAGTATGGCTAAAACCTCCCCAAGATCAGAAACAGAGTTTTGATTATGGATCCTATTTTATTGTTTTAGGTTTAATTGAACTTAAGGGGAAAAAAATGTCTCCACTTCTGAGAAGCATCTTTGATATCACTGAAGTTTTCAATCAATATGCCTCACATGACTGTGATGGAGCAGCACTATGCAAGAAAGACCTGAAGAATCTCCTTGAAAGGGAATTTGGAGCTGTCCTTCGGGTAAGAAATAAGAAGAAAAGGAAATCTCTCTATTGATTTGACTCTATGAAATTTCTTCTCAGGAGTGACCAGAGCAAGGAATGGTGATTTTATATTCATTTTACTCTCTGACAGCTCTATACTACATCCCTCATTCATTCCTGAGCCTGAACATACTTAACTGTCATTGCAGTTTAGGTACTAAAGAAGTTACTAGCAATTATTTCTGTACTTGATGGCAATGTCAATATGAATGAACTGGTGGTCATGGGAAGTTATTAACAAAGATGTCAGATCAAACTAGACTTGGAAAGAACTTAAAATTATTTCCAAATTTCAATAATCAAAATCATACTGTTCACTAGTAAAATAGCATTACCATAAATGTTTTGTTCTGTTTCAAACATGATAAAAATTGAATCAGATGTACTGGCTGTTTCAGACAGAAATTGCTGCAAATCTTCATAAATTTCTATTTTAATTTTCTCTTGAGGATGAGTTCACTATTCACCCAGCTAATGAGAACTTGTGTTCTTTTAATCAGTATTAAATTACAAGATGTAAAAATTTCCAACAAAAGTATGTTATAAAGTGAGGTATTCACATTTTACATGGGTACAACAACATTCCACCATACACACCGAGGCTTTTCTAATTGCTCTTAATGTCTTTTGAGTTGTCAGCATATCATAAAATACACGTTGTGTGTGAGTTTACTACCTGTAAATGGTATATTGTAAAAACTTTTGTTTTCATCTTTTTTCAGAGACCACATGATCCTGAAACGGTAGATCTGATCCTGGAACTTCTGGATCGCGACTGTAACGGGCTTGTAGATTTCAATGAGTTCCTCCTGTTCATTTTCAAGGTGGCTCAAGCTTGTTATTATGCTCTCGCAGAGGCCTCAGGGTTAGAGGAGAAGGGAGCCAAGAGTGAGGGAAAGAGGAACTCATTACAAGACCGCAGGCAAGAAGGCCAAAAGAGGTTTGAGCCCCGGGAGAGACAGCTGGAAGAAGAACGCAGGCAGAAGAGGCAGCAACAAGAGAGGGAGTTCGCTGAGGTAGAAAAGGAGAGGGAGAAGCAAGAGAGGCATGAGCACTGGCTGCAAAGGCGAGAATGGGAAGCGCGCCTTGAGGAGGAAGAGCCGCTGCACATGCGTAAGGGGCGGAAGTTTCCTGACGAAGAGAGCAGGCGAGAAAGGCAGGAGCAGCGACAGCGCCAGGAAGAGGAGCAGTTATTCAGGCGGGAACGGCAGGAGCTGAAAAGGGAACTCCTGGAGAAGGAAGAGCAGCTGCAAAGGCAGAGACAAGGGCGCCAGGAGCGCTTGGAGCAGGAGAGGCGCCAGCAGCAGCTCAGGCGGGAGCAGGAAGAGAGGCGTGAGCAGGAGCCGATCTTAGAGCAGCTAAAGCGTGAGCAGGAGGAGAGGCTCGAAGAGGAGGAAAGGCGCCAGCAGGAGCTAAGACGCAAGCAAGAGCTGAGGCGCGAGCAGGCGCCACTCGTGGAGCAGCTGAAGCGCGAGCAGGAGGAGAGGCGCCAGCAGGAGCGGAGGCGCGAGCAGGAGCCACTCGTGGAGGAGCTGAGGCGCGAGCAGGAGGGGAGGCGCCAGCAGGAGCGGAGGCGCGAGCAGGAGCCACTCGTGGAGGAACTGAGGCGCGAGCAGGAGGAAAGGCGCCAGCAGGAGCTAAGACGCAAGCAAGAGCTGAGACGCGAGCAGGCGCCACTCGTGGAGGAGCTGAGGCGCGAGCAGGAGGAGAGGCGCCAGCAGGAGCGGAGGCGCGAGCAGGAGCAGCTCTCGAAGCAGCTGAGACGCCAGCAGGAGGAGAGGCGCGAGCAGGAGAGGCGCCAGCAAGAGCGGAGGCGCGAGCAGGAGCCGCTCTTGGAGCAGCTGAGGCGCGAACAGGAGAGGCGCCAGCAAGAGCGGAGGCGCGAGCAGGAGCCGCTCTCGGAGCAGGGGAGGCGTGAGCAGCAGCTGACTGAGGAAGAGGTACAGCTGGAAGAGGCCCGAGAGCAGGGCGAGAGCCGCACCTTAAGGTGGCAGCGGCAGCTGGAAAGCGAGGCCGACGCCCGACAGAGCAAAGTCTATTCGAGGCCCCGCAAGCAGGAGCAGCAGAGGCGCCTCCAGGAGCAGGAGGAAGAGGAGAGGCGTCTCCAGGAGCGCAAGCAGCAACTACGGAAGCGCGAGGAGGATGCCCTGCGGCCGAGCCAGACCCTCCGAGAGGAGCGGGAGAGGCAGCTGCGCCAGGAGGAGGAAGAGCAGCTTCGCGACCTCAAGTGGCAGTGGCAGGCTGAGCAAGAGAGTGAGAGGCGCCGCCAGAGGCTGTCGGCCAGGCCCCCATTGCGGGAACAGCGGGACCGGCAGCTGAGGGCGGAGCAGCGCCAGGAGCCTGAACAACAACTTCGAGAGGAGCTGCGCAGACAGCGACTCGAGAGGGAGCAGGAGCAGCAGTTCCGCGAGGAGGAACAGCTTCAGGAGGAGTACCTCCAAGAGGATCAGGAGAGGGAGCGGCGCCAGGAGCTGCGCTGCGACCAAAAATGGAGATGGCAACTAGAGGAGGAAAGCCAGAGACGCCGCCACACTCTCTACGCCAAGCCAGCTCAACGCGAACAGCTGCAGCGCGAGGAAGAGCAGCTGCAACGGGAGAAGAGGCTCCAGGAACGGGAGAGACAATATCGGGAGGAAGAGCAGCTGCTGCGGAAGGAAGAGCAGCTGCAGCAGGAGGGAGAGCAGCTGCAGCGGGAGAAGAGGCTCCAGGGACGGGAGAGACAATATCGGGAGGAAGAGCAGCTTCAGAGAGAGGAACTTGAGGAAGGTAGACGCCAAAAGCAAGAGAGACAGTATAGGGAGGAAGAGCATCTGGAGAGAGAAAAGAGGCGCCAGGAGCGGGAAAGACAGAATGTGGTGGAGGAGGAGCAGCTGCAGCAGGAAGAAAAGCAGCTGCAGAGGGAAAGAAGGCGCCAGCAGCGTGATAGGCAGTATCTAGAGGAGGAGGCGCTGCAGCACCGGGACCAGACCCAGCAATTCCAGGATGATAATCAGCGCCGTGATCTGAAATGGCAATGGCAACCAGAAGAAGAAAATGAAGTTCGTAATTACAGGGTTTACTCCAAACGCAGAGAGAATGAAGAAAAGATCCGGCAATTGGAAGATTCCCAAGTGCGAGAGAGGCAATTCCAACAGGATCAATGGCCGCTGCAGGATGAACAGGAAGAGAGAGAGCAAGAGAGGAGGGGCTGGCAGCAGCTCGAAAGGCAGTTACCAGCCGAAGAACTGCTGGCGCTTGAGGAGCAAAAGGGAGCCAAAAGGCGAGACAGGAAGTTCCAGGAGGAAAAGCAGCTGCTAAAGGAGGAAAGAGAGGAGAAACGCCTTCAGGAAGACAGAAAGTTCCGTGAGGAGGAACAGCTCCTGCAGGAACGCGAAGAACAGCAGCTGCTTCGCCAAGAAAGTGACAGAAAGCTCCGTGAGGAAGTGCAGCAGCTGCGCCGCCGGGAACGCGAGCAACAGCTTCGCCAGGAGCGCGACAGAAAATTCCGTGAGGAAGAACAGCTCCTGCAGGAGAGGGAGGAACGGCAGCTGCTTCTCCGAGAAAGTGACAGAAAGCTCCGGGAGGAAGTGCAGCAGCTGCGCCGCCAGGAACGCGAGGAACAGCTTCGCCAGGAGCGCGACAGAAAATTCCGTGAGGAGGAACAGCTCCTCCAGGAGAGGGAAGAACAGCTGCTTCGCCAGGAACGCGAAAGAAAGGTCCGCGAGGAGGAACAGCTCCTCCAGGAGAGGGAAGAACAGCTGCTTCGCCAGGAACGCGAAAGAAAGGTCCGCGAGGAGGTACAGCAGCTGCGCCGCCAGGAACGCGAGCAACAGCTTCGCCAAGAGCGCGACAGAAAATTCCGTGAGGAAGAACAGCTCCTGCAGGAGAGGGAGGAACGGCAGCTGCTTCTCCGAGAAAGTGACAGAAAGCTCCGGGAGGAAGTGCAGCAGCTGCGCCGCCAGGAACGCGAGGAACAGCTTCGCCAAGACTGCGACAGAAAATTCCGTGAGGAAGAACAGCTTCGCCGCCAGGAACGTGACAGAAAATTCCGAGAAGAGGAACAGCTCCTCCAGGATCGGGAACAGCTCCTGCAGGAAAGGGAAGAACGGCAGCTGCGTCGCCGAGAGAGCGGCAGGAAGTTCCTCGAGGAGGAACAGCAACTGAGCCGCCAGGAACGCGAGCAACAGCTTCGCCAAGAGCGCGACAGAAAATTCCGTGAGGAAGAACAGCTTCGCCGCCAGGAACGTGACAGAAAATTCCGAGAAGAGGAACAGCTCCTCCAGGATCGGGAACAGCTCCTGCAGGAAAGGGAAGAACGGCAGCTGCGTCGCCGAGAGAGCGGCAGGAAGTTCCTCGAGGAGGAACAGCAACTGAGCCGCCAGGAACGCGAGCAACAGCTTCGCCAAGAGCGCGACAGAAAATTCCGTGAGGAAGAACAGCTTCGCCGCCAGGAACGTGACAGAAAATTCCGAGAAGAGGAACAGCTCCTCCAGGATCGGGAACAGCTCCTGCAGGAAAGGGAAGAACGGCAGCTGCGTCGCCGAGAGAGTGGCAGGAAGTTCCTCGAGGAGGAACAACAACTTAGCCGCCAGGAACGCGAGCAACAGCTTCGCCAAGAGCGCGACAGAAAATTCCAGGAGGAGGAACAGCTTTTCCAGGAAAGGGAAGAACAGTTGCGCCGCCAGGAACGCAACAGGAAATTTCGTGATGAGGAACAGCTCCTCCAGGAACGGGAAGAACAGCAGCTACGCCGCCTAGAAGAGAAACAGCAGCGGCGGGAGGATCAAGAACTGAGGCGCCTGCAGGAGCTAAACCAGCAGTACCGAGAAGAGGATCCATTTGTCCAGGAGGAGAAGAGGCGTCTTCAGGAACAGGAACTGCGGCAAGAAGAGAAGAGGCGCCGCCAAGAGCCGGAAAGGAAATTCCGGGAAGAAGAGCAGCTCCACCGCCAGCAGGAGGAGGCGCGGAAGCGTGGCCAAGTCTGGGAGGAAAAAGACGAGGGCTGTCAGCAGATTCTGGAGTCTGGCAAGCGTCAGTTTGCCAGTGTCCCGGTGCGCTCCAGCCCTCTCTATGAATACATCCAAGAGCAGAGATCCCAATACCGGCCATAAGAAATGCCATATGCCAGCACTTGCCAAAGCTCAGCAAAGGGAAATGGGAAGCACTGGGTACCAAATGACTCAAGTGATTCTGGTTGTGGGAAAACTCTTATGTTAGAATGTGTCTTTAATCCAAAATCTTAAACTACACTCATCCCGTTCTACCTTTTATGCTGCCTCAAGTAGTTCTTTACTGCAGGACGTCTTTTTCTCTGGTGCAGATGTGGTGATCATTTTAAAAAACAAATCATTTAATTTGTTTAAGGAGTTTTGTTTGGGGGCATGTTAATTTATTGCTTTCAAAAGTAACAAGAATAATATGATAATGTGAGATTCAAAAGAATTGGGTCTGTTTTTTTAATGGTTGATATATCTTGTAGAGAATTTAGATATTTTTAGTGTTCAAGTTGACATGTCTTCTTGGGACTAAATTACACTAATATTTACCTCCAAACAGTCTCATCTTTGGTGGCATAATTAGCACCAATTCTGCAGGGGGATTGAATATTTACAACCTTTGAATAGTGCACGAAAACTGCTTCTACAGGAAAAACTCCCTGTGAAATCAGCCCATAACTAAAGGAAATATCTGTTAAGAATAAGGTTTAGCTTTAAGGTTTAGAATTTGAACTGGAATTTTTTTTACACTTAATTCCATAAACATTTAAGATCTCTTAAAACAAAAGTAAGGCGTTTCTCAAACAGCTCCAGAGCTCAAATTTTAAAACTGTGTCTGCTGTAGTCTATAGTGCTCAGTTCTCTTCCCCCAATCTTTGGTGAATTTCAGAATATTGCTACCTTAGTTAATTTTAGCAGAGAGGGAAATTGCTCAAGATTCTGTAAACATCTATCTTGCTGTAGGACCAATCTGAGATCACAGAGAGCATTTTTGGGGAAGGAAAGGGGAAAATTTGTAGATGGAGAAGACCCACCATCCTATAATCCTTTGAGGCTTATTGATATTACCTTAGAGATATTCTTGTTGAAATAATTGGACTGGATAAAAAGTTAATAAATGTTTGGCAAACAATTTTTTGTGTGTCTTTCAATTATGCTTCAAATCATAACTCAGTATCCAGTGGTCTAGGAACTGAAAAAAAAAAAAGTTCCTGTTATTCAAGGCTATTTGGTTACATTTATCCATGTTATAAATATGAAAAAAGAAAGAAAAAAAAACACCTCTGTTTTCCTCAACTATTTTTCCCTGTTAGGGTGAACCCTATATTATTTCCATCCCCAAGCTAGGATTCTCTGCCCATGTTTTTTTTCTTGACTTCACAGCTTTCTGTGCCCCTTTCTGCTGTGACTCACAGGTCATGACAAATAATGGTGCTCCCAGTGTCTGCTAGTTTTTCCTTCCAAGAATACAGCACCTTCTTCGTCTCTGATGTCTAATGAGCCAACAGTAGAAAACAGCCTGAAAGTTAAGCTCTGCATTATAGAAATTATAGATGAACTGTTGGTTTAAGCAACGAAGTCCATCAGGTGACCCAGTCAGAAGGTGTTTAACAGTAATGCCAAAAATACCATGTTATTATCTAATGATCCAAATATCCCTGTGCCACCTGCTGCAGTCTATATTTAGTATTCACACCTTAGTATTAGGAATAAGTCCAAGAAGGCTCTGATCCAGAATAGTATCATTTCTAAATTGTGAGAGTCATGGATGAGAAAACATCCTAAGTTATAGACACGCAACATTTTGGTGAGTTGTAGAGGTAGGGAAACTAAGCTCCTGAGTATCGTTCTGATGGAGTAATATGGCATTTTTCTGCAAGAAACACCAGCCTCTCCCTTCCTTTAACATAAATGGCAGATATCCACCAAAAACAAAACCTGGGAATCTCCTGACACACTGCCAAGGAAAAAATGGTACCTCCTTCAAATAATTTCTAACTACAAAACTATTTTTCTCAAGATAAGTGTATACTTTTCTTACTTAAGGACTTTCACAGAAACCATGGAGGAGCCTCACTGACTTTCCTCAGGATCTTCTCAACAGGCACTCATTTCAGAGCCCCCTTAAAAATGTCAACCCCAGGAAACTCCTGAAATATACACTCATTGTCAAAGCTGCAGTTCAACAATAATAATTATGGTAAAAACAATCAAAGCCCTTCAGACTTATACCACTTTACAAGATGAAGAAAGAGCCATTTCCTAAGAGGAAAGTATTGTTTCATCACAGTTACAATAACGTGTCATTAAAAAAAAAGCGGGTCAGCCAGCCCATGCCCCATGGCTCCTCTTTTAGCATGCTGATGGGAGAACATGCTGGCAGGCTAACCCTCATGCTCCACCTAGATAATGTACATTCATAGGCAGAGGCTTGAGGCTGTTGGGCAATTGAGTGCTAAAGTATAAACTAGGAGGGAACTCTATTAACATTACCTTAGCTGCTGCTGAAGAATGAGGTTGAGGGTTCAAAATTCTCTGTGATGGCAAAGCTGGTCTCTATGTTATGGGCTGGATTATGTTCTAAAAGTTCTTATGTTGAAGTTTTAACTCCCAGCACCTTAGAATATAGTAGAATATAGGAGATATTGTATTTAAATAAATAATTTTATTTAAATGATATCATTAGGTGGGCACTAATTCAAAACAAATGGTGTCCTTATAAGAAGAGAAAATTTGGACACACATAATGGAGGGAAGATGGTGTGAAGACATAGGAAGAAAATGGCCATCTACAAGCCAAGGACAGAGGCCTGGAAGAGATCCTTCCCTCATAACCTTCAGAAAAAAACCAACCCTACCAACACCTTGATCTTAGAGTTTTGGCCTCCAGAATTGTGAGAAGATATATTTCTACTGGTTAAGCCACTCAGTCTGGGGCTACTATGATAGCCCTAGCAAACTAATATACCATGTAAGGTGTGGTTATGTTGCTAGGGAAATCTATCTGTATTGTAATGATCTTTATCATTTGACTTTGTACAAGCCTGTCCTGGTTGCTCAAAGACCCTCTTTTTTAATTAAATCTGTCATAGTTTCTATGGTGCAATAGAAAAAAAAATGCTACAAGGAATAGGAAGCTTGGGGATCATTTATTCATCCATTCAACAAGTATTTATTCAGCTCCTGCTATGTGCTAGACATTCTAGGCAGAATATGTGCACTGGTGAAGTAGTCATTCTGGCCTGTTCTTTCATTTTACTGTGTGCCCTTGTGCAAAGCACTTAAGCTTTCTGGGCCTCCATTATTCTATATTTCAAACTTTGAGACTAGAATAGCTATCTCCAAGGTTATTCCCAGAACTGAAAAATAATTACTTAATTTTAACATTCACCTTGTCCAACTGAAACTCTTAAAGCAGCTCAAATAAACCCTCACCCCAACTCTCCCTTTCGCTAACAGAAAATAGGAGAAAATTAACTGATGAAGGTAGTCATCAGAACTTTGTTCCAACTTCAAAGGTCTTCCTTTTCTATCCAATAAGACCTGAACTCACCCCCGTCTGTCTCCCAAATTCCTCTCCAAAGTGCCTTTATATCATCCCAGATTTGTTTATTGAAGGAAAGGTCCCCTATCCACTCCATTTTCTTTGACTCTAGTGCTATAAAAGATCATTGACCCAATCTATGAACTTCACATATGCATTTAATTACTCCCATTTTTTTCTGAGGAGAAAACAAAGTCCTGGAACTTAGTGAAACTGAAAATCTGTGGCCACTAGTTAAGTATGAATCCATTTCTGCTCCGTCTTCTGCACTAATTACACAGTGCTAATATTTTCATTCAGTCATAGTAATTATGTTTGTTTAACAAGCATGCCGGGGCTGTAATCTTCTGAAGATTATAATCTATGTAATATGTAATAAACATGTGTTTCCCTTGTTAGTAAAGAGCTGACAGTCACATGCAATAATCTGAAACACAACAAAAGTAGATTTATGAATAAGTTATTATTTTCTGAACCCTCAGGATGTCCATGACAGACACTAAAATTGCAAAACATTTTAAAATCTGATTTCTTTTTGTCATTACTCTCCCTTTGTTAAAAAAAAATATGTTTTATTTTCTGCAAGACAAACTCTAAGGTCTTCAGTTTGGAATTTAAGGCTCTCCACATTCTAAATGCAATTCATCTTTTAAACTCTGGTCATCATGACAAGGAATTATTGTTATTTTAAACAGGGAAGTAATTAACCAGGTTGATAGTTTATAAGGATCATTGTGGCTGCAATGTGGAGGATGGGTCGGAGAGGGTCAATGTGCAAGCAGAGAGAACATTAAGATGATATTACGATAATCCCCAGGAAAGACAATGATAGCCTGAGCTAGGAAAATGGACATGGGGATAAATAAAATGGATATATTTGAAATATTTTTGAGAATTAGAATCAGTAGGAGTTGGTGTTATATTGAAGAGATGGTGGAGAGAAGGAGATAAAGATGCTATTAGGTTTATAGTGGGAGAAACTGGGTGTACAGCGGTACCATTATTGAGATGGAAGTACAAGGGAACTTTAGGTTTGTAGTGAGGGAAAATGACAAGTTCAGTTTACTTACATTGAATTGGAGATGTATTTGAGGTTTCCAGGAAGCATTACTTAGTTGGCAGCTGGTTATATGAGTCTAGAGCTCAGGTGAGAAGTTTGGATTTGATATATAAAAGGGGAATATCAATCTATCAGTAATAATAGAAGCCTTAAGAGTAAATAAGATTATTCAGACCATGGAGAAAGTAACATGAACTGGGCTAAGGGAGAAAACGGAGAAACAGCAACATTTAAAGGAAATGCATAAGTACTGAAAAGGAGAATTTTAAAAAGCAGTCAGAGTGGTAGGAAGAAAACCAGGAATGTGTGGTATCACAAAAACTAGGAAAGAACTTGCTGTAAGAAAAAGGAGGCAGTTATCAGATGTTTCAGAGAAGCCAAGCAAGTTAATTGTTAAAAAATTCCTAGTGATTTGGTGAGATGATGGTCAGTGATTATCTCATATATCACAATGGATTTGGTTTAAGAATGCAAGGAAAGCAGCAACATAAGACTTTCAAGAATACTAAC